CCCCAAAACCCCAAAACCCCAAAACCCCTCATTAATAATAAACGATTGAAGAAGTTTTATTCCTTAAGTATAGCTTTATCAAACCCATTTTCGCCAATAATCATTATTATTTCATCTTGGGTGAAGTCGTCTAAATGGATTCTCAGCTCTTGCAGATTCAATTTGAAGTGTGAAGAGGAAGCGAGCCCTTTGATTAAAGTAGCAAAGCCTTCTGGATTATCCTCTGATCCACTGAGGTCATAAAAGTCTACTCTTATCAGAGTTAACTTCTGAATCTGAGTATTCACTAGTAATTCTGAGAAGTCAGGGGCATCTGCAATTAGCAATTCACAGTAACTGAGTCTTATATCTTCTACATGACTGAAAGAACTGAAGAATCTTCTTAACTTTGCTGGGGTGATTTTAAAGCCGAAGATGACTACTGATTTCAAAATCTTGTGGCTAATTCTAATAATTTCTTTGAAATAAAGAGAGTCATTTAGTCCAGCAAAAGTCTGGATACTCAGCCCAAAATTATTAATTTTCTCTGGGAGAATAGAAGAAATAAAATTATTTGTAAATCTACTTCCTCTCTGAATTGTTTGTATGAATAAATCTTCAACTTTGAAGAATTTAAAAGGCGCTTGATAAGCAAAGTTCATGTCTTGTTTATAATCTAAATAAATGCTATAACCAAGTCATGACTATCTGTGTTTCACTCTTCGCCTAATTTCTTCTTCTCAAGTTCTTGGGAATAAATGTTGAAATAAAGAGTGTTTCTTACAGCACTATCTGACTCTTTACTTTCTTCATGAATTCTCTTCTCAATGCTATATTATTACTGTAAATCTGCAAACCCAAGATAAGAGGATGGCCTTCAGAGATTATTTGATAACTGGGGAGGTTATTTAATAACTTATTGGAAGATTTAATTGGATGTATAGCAAACTGATCCAAAATGGTTCCTCTTCTTTCCCAGCCTATTACTCTTCAATTTAGTATTAAGCCTCATATTCTGAATAATCGCCCAGGAAATGATAATAACTTTGACATTTCTAGTGATAATATAAATACCTAGTGTGCTTGCACCTGACTGTGTGTAATAATGAGAAAGAAGTCTAGCATAATAGAAAACATATTGAGGTTGTGACTAAAAATTCTGATATATTTGATTCCACTAAAATAATACCTGTGTGTATTTTGGAGATGTGCAAAGAGGCTTCATCCCAAGCTTTCCTTCAAGATCTATGGCCCTCTCAGAGATGTAGCAAATTATGTATTGGGAAAGCAGCCAGACTGAGATATAATATTATCTGAGCAATTCTTTGCCTAGATAAAACTCACTCTTTAATCTTGTCATTTGTTTGTGGTGTTTGGGATGAACTTTCCATTTCTTAATAATTATTTTACTCCCGATCATTTTGAATAAGGGGTTTTGGGGTTTTGGGGTTTTGGGG